GTCTTGATCTATTTCATTGTTCTCCAACCCGAATACTCATGACCCAAACCCTTTTTTTTTATCTTTTTTATCTTCTTCACTCAACTTCCCCACCATTAAAACCCATATTTTCCCATCAAGTCTCCACCCTCATTGTCATTTTCTCCTAAAACCTATTGGAAATACCCTCAAATTTAATATGTTTAACCAAGCTTTTATACCTCTATTAATATGGGTAGTGTTTAACTTCATTTGAAAATCCTCAACGTGTTTGACTTTTTCTTACTCCTCCTCTTTCCACTCTTTTTTCTTCTTTTATTGCATTTTTATTCTAGCTCTCAATTTAGCCTCTCAAGGTATAAAATGCAAGCTTTGAAGGGAACCATTTAAAGTTAAAACAAATTGATTGATTGAATTGAGGTTATATGGACATTGATTTGGGTTTTCCGTAACATGTGTGTGTTTTTATTATTATTTTACTCATCCATAATAAGATGCTTACTTAACTTAAAATGTGTAGGGGTAGAAAAGGTGGAGTTTTGGAAGATTGGAATGGAGTTTACAATGTTTTGATGAGTGATTTATGCAAGGATAAAGGGTGTACAAAGGCTATTTAATGAAATGTGTGTGAGTAGAAGAGGATAAAAAATGCAAAGAAGTTATTTGAAATGTCCGTGAGAATAAAGAATGCAAAAAAAAAAAAAAACTTAGAAAAACATAATATTGCTAATTACCTTAATAATAATAATAATTAACTTAACACATTTTTTATCCTACTAATCAAATACAAATATTTTCTTCTAATAACCACCAGTAACTAAAATCCACCATCAATATGCATTACTTCGTAACCTTCTTATAGGCCTTAAAATTAGAAGAACTTTTAGTCTTTGATTTTTTCCTCTTCATAGACGTCAAATTCTTATGCTTCTGAACCCATCTTGTGTCTTCACCTTATCAACCTCTTTATTTTTATAGCTTTCTCATCCTTCCTATCCTCATTCAAATTCCTAGGTGTCTTAACCTAATGAAGCCTTTTGGTCTCGACACCTTTCTCTCGATATCATCTTAGCAACCTTCTCTTTAGGGGTCGAGGTTTTCTTGGCAACACCGTTGTTTTTTTAGGTCTCTTTGATGGCCAATTTAAGATCGTTTAGTTAAAACAAAAAATCTTGTAAGAATTCTTGAATTTTACAAGTCTCTCGAATTTCACAAACCTCTTTAATTAGATAGATGAGACGTTTTTTAAGTATGAAGATATAGACTTTTTGTACTTTTCCTCAATGAACTTTGCTATCACAAGCGTGGCTCGACCCTCTCCCCGCCCTTTAGTGTTATTGCTTTAGTTATCATTTGTAATTGAGAAACATAATCATAAATTAAAAAATAAGACAGAAAAAAATGAAATCTTACACTTACAAAGGTAAAGAATGTAATAGAGGACCTCGATATATGGAAGGAGGGCAGAGGGTGAAGGATCATGAATCTTATAGAGGTGCGTAATAAAATAATTTTTTTCTCCATCTAAGTTCCTAAGATCAAGCCATTGAATCAACTATTCATACATATATGAATTAAAAGCATGAGTAAAGGATTATCTTTTATAGCGTATATTTAATCTTTGTAGAAAAAGGAGTCGTGCAAGTATCCGACCTCTATCGATAATCCACATAGCTTAAACATCTACAAAGGAAGCCATATCATTCATAGAGTGCTAACCGGAATTCTTTTGTATAACTTACTTTTCTCTTAGAAATCAAAATAGTGTTTTGCACCAACTATTGGCCTTTTTAGAAAGAGGTACGACAACTAGGGCTTTTAAGAGAAAACACTTTTCTCTCTATTTTTCTTATTTTTCCATGTATGCTCTAGCTTTTTTTCACTTGATGCCACCTCTCTCCTTTATTTATAAGGGGGTATGGCAACAACATCTCCTAATAGGTTAAGAAGGTGTTGCCTATGTGGGATTTGTTCAACCTTATCCATATAAACCTCGAGCCTTATCAAATAGGACTTATGTTTATTCTCCGATCAAAATATCTTACATGCTTTTTATTTAAACCTATTGGTCCAAACTCTTTTAACCCAGCTTAATTACTAATTAATTTGGACTATCTAAATAAATTAGGTTATATATTTTGAGGAAGCCCACATTAGGAAACAATTTTTCAAATTACCCTTAAACCTAAATTACGAAACTAATTTTATTTTTAGGTAACTTACTTTTAAATTTGAAACTAAGTTTCAAATTAGAAAACTCGATTTCTAAAATTGAAAATTTCCATTTTAGAAAACTTTCAATTTTAGTAAACCTTTTTTTCAAAATAGAAAACTTTTCATTTTTAAAAACCTTTTCCAAAATAGAAAACTTTCAAAACTGGAATTTTTTTCCAAAAAATTTACTTCTCTTTATTATGTGAATGCTTAAACTTACATGTGTGACTTAATAGACTTCTAGATATGTTAGCAATGGATCAAAAACAAGAGACACCTTTTTTATCTCTTAATACACAAATCAAGATTGGCTTTTAACAAAACATCATAACTACCTAATTTCTTAGGAGGATTAATTAATCTGTAATTATCTTTCACGAACATGATTACCATATATTCAATCCCTATGTTAATTTATCACAAGCAGTGATCTCAAGCTTGCTTTATAGTCCGTTCGATTATGATCACATAAGTTCTCTTAGATTCCTAAATTTCTTAGCTTTAGAGTAAACCAACTATGCTCTACTAGTATACTTCTACCGTAGCCACAGCATTCCTTAAGTAGACATTTATCGAAGTACAATGTGATAACTTATTTAGTATATAAGAAATGACATGTGCTCATATGTAGCTCTTGACTCGAACTCATCAAAACTAGTGTCAAAGTACATAAATTCTCTAATGAGATAGTCGTGATAACTTCAAGTCAAAAGACTAGTTGTACTCATCTTGTATGAGATTTTCATAGACTAAACCAAATGGGTTCTCATGGCAAGTCAAGTCCAAGTGATAGTTTCTCTAACATTAATCACCTAAGTGCTTACTTTAGTATCACCATATCAATAAGTATGAGATCTCCTACTACTATCTTATAGCATGAGCATAGCACTCACATATCTTACCGCATATAGTCAATGTCCATTATTGATAATGCTACAACTTGGGATATTTAATGATATTATTTAAGTGCATTAATATTTATCTCACATCTATCAATCAATCATTAATGCAACACATATCATATGGACTTCTATCTAATTCTATCAAAATATAAATAACAAGAATTAATATAAAGATTTTTTTATTAATAAAATAAAAAATAATATTATAATAAGTAAAACCATCTAAATAAAGTTGGATCTTGGGCATCTACACTAATAGAAATGACATTAGTTGTTTTAGTGTTCTTTTTGGAACTAAGGCGCATGCTTTGGGCATGTCTAATGGGAGGGAGATGAGGGAAGAATTAAGAAGAAGGATTAGGATTATGGATGTTGGATTATGAGAGGATTTGAATTTTAAAAAAATTAGGAAACTAGAACTCGCTACAAAAATAAATAAATAAATAAAGAAGTACAGGAAGTGTGACAATTTTTTAAAAATCTTTTATTTTTTTGATAATTTTTTAATTTTTTGATACACGACATATTAATCCGACATGGCATGCCATATGGATTTTAAATGCCAAGTGGTAGCTTCAATTGAAAAATTAGCCAAAAAAACAATTGGAGGGGCCACATTAAGGAAAATTAAAGGGTACTAGGAGGAGTTGAATAAAAAAAATGTACAAGGGCCATATTAAGAAAATGTCAAAAATAAAGGGACATCTAATATGATTAAACCATGGATCAACGACCAACTAACGATAAAAAAAATTAAATTATATCAACTACTAACGGACAACTATGGAATTCGTCGAGTATATTCCTACCAACAACAAAATATTAAAGATGAAAAATCGCCAACAAAACTTTCTATTCGTATGTTTCATCACATTATCTATGAAAGTACTTCACTATAGCGATAATATGTCTACTAATATATTTCATTACATTAGTGATGGAAGAGCTTTATTATAGCAACTACTTATTTGTCTCTAATTTTACGATAAATGGTAACTTCCATCGACAAATTATTAGTGATAAGTGTTTTACATATAATCAAGTTTCGTCATCATTCCGTTGCTAAAAAAATAACAACAAAATATATATGTTTAACGACATAATTTTTCATTGCTAAGCCTAGGCTTAATTTTTTATAGCGTATGTTTTTAGTCCACAAAAGTCTGAAGGTACAATACCCATTGGAAATAGGCAAAGCTCTTGCTAAGGTCTGTGGTCTACAACTTGCCCTTCATATAGAGTTCTCAAAAGTTTACTCGGAATCGAATTGTGTTAGTTTCATTCATCATATACACTCGAATGTAGAAGATTGTTCCTACTTATCTTCTATTGAACTTGATATCAGAGTCCTAACTAGTCTTTTTACATTTTTTTTTCCTAACTAGTCTTTTTACATTTTTTTTTTTTTGTAACTTTTTCCCATGTTAAACGTGTTAATGATAAGATTCTCATAAATTAGCTAATTTAGTTAGATTCAATTTCGATGAACAGGTTTTTGTTGATGTCCTTACTCCTTATTGGATGTAATCCTGGCTGATGTCTCCTCCTAATTTCTTAATGAAAATCATATTATCGTTGCTATTCTTTTAGTCAATGCTTGTCACCTCAGAGACCATAGCCAAAGAGAAAGGAGGCAAGGTGAAGTGCAAAAACAAAAACAAGAGTGTTTCTAAGATTTCGCAAAGCTAAGGGACCTCCCTGCAATTAATTTCCTCCAAATCCTCGAAATAGCAAATAGCTTAAACCATAAACCGGCAAATAAAACAAAACCTTAAACCCTACCCTTCCAATCCAGTTTTTTTCTGGGTTGAGCTTGCAACAGCTTTGGTTGACGATTTTGTCAATTTGGGTTTTCAAATCTCAAATTTCTCAGTTTTCTGTTTGAAACTTTAAATAAGATAACAAATGGAAGGATTGCAGAAATTCGTACGTAATATATCAAAGGACTCGAAGCCCGGGACTTCCTTGTCAGAGAATGCTTACAACTTAAGCGAAAAGGTTGGATTTACTTCCGCTTTATCTTCTCCAGATCAGTCTCGTGTTTTGATCACTAGGCCTCCCAGGTAATTTTCTTGTCCAGTTATTTAAATTCTTTTTTTCGAGTTTTTTTTTTTTTCCCTATATCTGATTGTCCAATCACTTGTTGACTGTCATATTGAGCGAGCCCTCGATTTCTTTACAAGGCTGTGTAATTGTTGTCTTTATAATTTGTCTGGTCGAAATAGAATCTTTTTATTGCTCATTGGGATATGATTCAGTTCTATGTTCTGTACTTCATTTTTGTTGGTCAATTGGAATTTGTAGTGCTAACTATTATCTTCACTGTCTCTTAGACCATTTTTTATTTCCTGTGAAAAAGGTTGACGCTTTTGTGAATTGGAAAAGTTACAAAAAGGCACCTTTGCATGTGTTAACGTGTCTCCTAGCCTTCTTAAAAATCAGAGTCTTTGTTTTGTGTAAAAAAATATTCAATGGTGATAACTCATGTTTGCATATGTGGTCTTTCGCTTCATAAACAAGTTTATAATAAATTAGGGAAGAAGCAACCAAAATTCTCCAACTGGTTTGGTGCTTCTTCTGTGAGATTCCAGTCAAGCTATGGCAGCAGTGCTTCCTAAACTACAAACCTTTATGTCAGTTTAAGCAGTTTGAATGTTTCGTTTTCAGTTTTTGGACAATATGCTTGCTGAATAACTTTTAGGTTTTTTCTTGAATTCTTAGTTGAGTTACTCTCAATTTTTAGTTAAGCTCGAAGAAATGGTCTGATTTATAGTGCTCCCAAAATCGTATTCCTTGACTCTGGTTCTGTCATTTCCAATTGAATTGTAATTACTACATTCTGCTGGCTTTCCTTATTGACCATTATTCTTCATCTTCTTGCAGGAAAATGGTTTCTCTGTGGACTTGCTCGAAGATGTGTGCAATTTTCTTTGCTGCTGGAATTGTTGTTGGTTACACGCTGAAGAAACGTGTTAGGAGATGGGCTGCTAAGCTTCTTAGGAGATTGAAAGATGACTGACACAGTAAAAATCATTTGTATGTCATACAACTGATAAGGCTGCCTTCTTTACTTTACCCATGCTTGTCTGTGTCTCATGTCAGTGACATCCTATAAAGCTGTTATTTTGTAACTCATTGCAAGTTGCTCATTGATAGATACATTATTTATTTGCAGGCTATTTTTTCCCCCTTTATAACACTGGTAATCTCTCTTGTTGCTGGACTTTATTATTCAAATTGTATTCAAGTATGAAGCACTAGAATCTAATGGCCTATACATTTCAGATTGATGTATGATAGATATGTTTTCTTTTGCTCAGTCATTTTCCCGTCACTTCAGATATTAAACTCAAATTCTTTTATTGCATTCCTGGATAGTAACTCCCTAGCACTGCATTTTGTGCTCTCTGATTAGGTAATTAATTTTCTACCCAGTGGCTTGCTGGCATGTTAGTGAAGTCAACTTACGGACCATCTCCATTTTAATTTTGAAATACAGCATGTTTTATGTTAAAATAATTGCAATGATCTCTGTGAACATAAATATTATAACTGCTTCTTCCGTCAACTCAGCTAAGCTGTCCATTCTCAAGGTTGTTAGGAAGTATTTATATAGTTAAATAGTTGAGATTGAGTTTCATCTAAAAGACTTAAGCCTTATGATGGGTGGCTCCTTCTCAACTTTATATACTATTTATTATTGGTTTAATTATTCAATATGGGATATGTGTTCTAACACTCTCCCTCACTTGTAATCCATTTTTTGGGATCTGTCAAGTGGCTTGGGCTTCAAGATCTCTGTTGAGCCGTTAGGTCTCTTTGAGGCTCGATACCATATAAAGTTAGATAGTTGAGATTGAGTTTCATCTAAAAGACTTAAGCCTTATGATGGGTGGCTCCTTCTCAACTTTATATACTATTTATTATTGGTTTAATTATTCAATATGGGACATGTGTTATAACAGTATTTTCAACAACTGGGATCCTTAGGCAAAGTGGTAAAAGGCATAAAAAAATCCGTTAAAATCCATCGTCTCTCACTGATTTTTTTTCTTTTTCTTTTTATTGAACTTCTCTTTTGTGTCAGACAACATTGCTACATCAATTTAATATATAACTGCATCTATATCTTTCTGAGCTACATATATGGCATGTATACATATATTTTTATCTCAGTTCTTTTAGTAATTACAAAAAATAATAATAATGATAGCTTGGCTTTTCAAATGATGTCCTGTTGCTTCAGAAATACTCCTTGTGAAACTCAAACCTTGTGGATGTCTTGTGACTCAGCTCTTGACAAAGCTTCTTTAGCTCCTTTGCCAGCACTGGCATCCCGCAATAGAACACCCCTGGATTGTTTTTTACAATTCTGTCTTTTAGTTGATAGTTACATGTACTTATCCATTACCAAAAAGTTGCAGAAGATTAATGCCATGTATTTTCAATCAAAAGATGGTCAATTCATGAAAGCTGGTTTTATTGATTTGTTTATTTTCCTTACCTATCGTGCCAAACGGATGCTTTGAAGCAATTTTGTTGAACACTTCATTCCAATTTGGTCTTGCAAAATGCGTCCTCACCTGCAACAAAGTAGAGCCAAATGATGAGAATTCCTATTCTTCCCCTCTGCAATGCTTTGAATATTTGATTTCCCAGCTTCCACCATCAGTTATTGATTGGTGGGTTGGTATGTGTGTTATAAATTTACAGTAATTTTGACAACCTAAAACTTTATGTTTATTAGGGAACATACCCGAGTGCCTGACACGATGTCAACACCATGTTTGGCATGGTTGAGAGCTTGGACCATGGTGATCAAAGTTGACCTTGCATCACCTTCTTCGTAAACGCTTGTAAGGTAGTTGTGCAGTTCGATTTGACCCTGTTTCGTTGTTATATAAGAAGATCATTTGTACTGATAGCTGTGGCAATGTATTTGAGACAAGGATAACGAGCATGGGTTGGAAATTTGGTCTTACTTTGCGATCCATCTCTGCAACTTCATCCATGACTCCTTTAAACCATTCAAAAGATCCAGGTTCCCTTGTAACCCAGTAGAAATGAGCATTGGTAGTCCTCTGTGTTCTCTTCTTGCTACCTGGTGTCATACTTGAAGATGCATAACTATTTGAACTGTCATCGGAAGGAGTGGTTTCAGTGTTTGAATCCTAGTAAACCAAAGAAAATCAATTACTGGACGTCAATTCTCACTTTACAAAAGTAGAATATGTAGATTAAAGTTTAGGGTATGACTTGTACCATTTGATACTCTGCTGTTCGTGTATTATTCAAAAGATCTCTAAGGATGCTTATGAAAGGTGTAGCTCCTATGCCAAGCCCAACGAGGAGCAAGACATCGTAATTTCTGTAGTCTTGTGCTGGAGCCCCATATGGACCATCAACATATAGTTTGGGTTGTCTGCAGCAATGCAGAGCATTTTGCATAAATATTTTCACAAATTGTTTGAATGCAAGTCTAATACGGTGGAGTTGCGTAGAATGTAAATTACTCTGTTTGATCCACATCCCCATGTTGACCAAATGTGGCAAGACCAATAACAGATGGTGAATCATTTGCCTCAGTGAAAACTCGATGCAATTCCTCAGTCCAGTCTCCGACTATCCGAATGTGAACACTGAGGTAGTCATCTCCTGGTGCTGAGGTTATAGAGAATGGGTGCCTGGAAAGGATTCGGTTCAGTTCTTAAAAGCATGATCACATTTCGTAGTAATAATTATTGTAATTAACAGGAGTTGTTATTTTAAAAAATACTCACCATTCGAAGGAGGATATTGCTGGGCATTGTAGAAATATGTACTGCCCGCTTTTGTACTTGAATCCTTGCGGCTTGGACAAGATTAAGCTGAAGACGTTTCCCGGTAGAACTGACACCTATCAGAATCAAGTCATTTTAGACTTCTTTTCTTGCCAAGGAAAACAAAAGATCATCTAGCAAGTAACGATCAAACCTAAAAGAACTTAACTAATCACCTTTAATATTTTTACGGAATAATGTTCTGATCTTCGTGTTCTCACATTTCGCTCAACCATATAGAGCAACAAGGGAGCAGCGATATACATCCATGTCTGGAAAATTAGATAAGTGACCGATGTTACTTTCTAATTATGGATTATTTTGTCAAAAACCACAGCGGATAATTATGCTTGAGAGATCTTACTGTTTTTTTATACCACTCGTGGACTAAGAACAGGAAGGTTCCATGGACAAGCAGCAAAATATAGACCACACCAGTGAGATGATGAGAGTACCAGAACGCATTGAAGCCTGTCAATTTGTTGAAGGGTGCAGGTAGTCTCACCCCGTTTCTCCGGAAACGGCCTGTTGCTAGAGTGAATGCAATGACCAATAACACCACCATAGAAATCCCGGTTACACCTTCAATACCTAACAGAAGTTCTTTATATGTAGGCTTTTTGTTCTTGAAATCAGATGCAATCAAAGCAAATTTGTCAGAAGACGAATGTGTCAGACGGGGAAAGTCACAAAATAGATGGTTTCCTGCATGAAGAATGACTCCAATTGCTACAGCACCTGCAACCATCTGCGAAAATAAGGTAAAAGAAAGAGGGGTCAGTGATTTCCTATTAAATATTCAGTCCTTTTCCTTTGGTTAGCTAGTACAATTTCAGATTGTTTCTCCATTATTAAGAACAGAGCCCTTAAGCAAAGGCGAATCGTATATGAATATGATTTCATGTGTACTGATCAAAGTTCACAGATGATGGTGCAAGCTTACTTTCGTATTCTCTCCCTATTAACTTGTCTCCAACAACTTTGTCAGCATATTAACAAGCATAGAAGAGCATAATGTAAATATAATGTAATTAGAACATGTATTTATTACAAATTAGATAGAATATTATCTAATGTTGTAATTTCCAAAACTGTATCAAGGTGTTAGCATCAGAATTAGGAATCAGATAAGGTGTTTTGGTACCCATTGAGTAGTAAACCTTCTTACCTTGTGGAAATTAATGTTGTCATCAAAAGGAACGAATGACCTTGCTCGAGTGGACCGAAGCCAAGTCAGTGTGTTTCGACAAACCGGTAAAAGAATTAGAGCCATGTTGAACTTAAGTGTCTCAGCAGCACCTTTGGCAGTGGGCAAGCAATAGCCCATGACATGAAATGCAGCCATATTCTTATAGTCATGAAATTTCCAGACGAATAGGCCAACCATTATCATCACCCACAGCGTTAAAATCCAACCCCTTTGCCATTTCTCCAGAATTAGACACCTCAGTTTGAAGCTTAGCCTACGCATCGCATTCTGGGGTCTGATTGAACTTATGTTCTGACTCCAGCTTACACTTGCTGTACTCAATGGTCTGCTGCAGTTCATGTACGTGTCCCTTTGCAGAAGAAGTGTTTCTAACTGCCATAACTGCAAATGGGAAATAGCTCTTTTTAAAAATACATAATCTACGCTCAATTGTAAGTTGTTGGAAGGTGCAATAATAATAATAATAATTACATTACAGAATTTTAAATAATAGAATTATAATAAATGATGAAAAATTTTTTTGAAATAGAATAATTATAGTATTCACTGTATTCTAAAAATATCATCAATCTTTTTATTTATATATGTTTTAAAATATTTGTTTTGTCAAAATTTTAAATGAGATATTTTTCTAAAATGTTTTTAATTAAAAGTTCAAATATAGTTCTAAAAAAGAAAAAAGAAAAAGAGTATAAGTAAAAAAAGTAAATAATGATTGATAATTTTTTTAATATGTATAAAAAATAAAAAAGTATATTTTTGGAAGAGGGAGTAAACAACTACTTTGTGGCATACATGATAAGGCCTGAGGGATCCTCTACCATGAGTGGGCTGATTGTAAGGTGGGCTTAATTTAAAATCATTTTTGACTTGGTCTGGGTTAGGCCTATTCAAAAAGTTGAAAAAGTCCAAACTAAGGCAAAACAAGCAATGGGATCATCATTTGAAGGTCGCATTTACCTCAATGTATCCGAGATTTTCAGGGTCGAGTTCTTCCATTATCAATGAAGCATATTCTTCTGCTTGTTCCTTCAACTTTGACAGCTTATTTGCAGAAGCACTGAGCATTATAAGCTGTGGGATTAAAAGAAAGTAATAATGACGCAGTTGAAATATTATTTGGCATCGCTTGCACATGCTTGATGGGCATGTAACTGACTACTAAAAAAAAAAAAAACATGTAGCATGTTGTCATGAATGTGACCGACTATAAATATTCTTCTTGGCAAATAGTTTGATTTGGTTGGTGGTAGTTAACGCATTTGTATAACATGTCTCCAATTTGCTTAATTTGTGAGAAACCTATTTTAATGCTACAAGAATTAAGAAATAATACCAACTTTCTGAAATTGGAGAATACATGTGAAATAATTAACATCGTCAGGAAATAAAATAAAAAATTGAATAATGTTTTTCATCCTGAAACACCAAATCCCGAATGATTTTATCACTACACATATGATAATTGGTGTTGTGCATCTCATCAATAGTAATATTATTTAGAAACTTACCTCCTGCACTTCTTCTCTTGTGATTCTTCCGTCTTCATTGCTATCTGCCCTGAAAAGCACCAAAAATTCTTCTTAAAAAAAGTTTCTGATTTTCCAATAGAAATTATAACCAAACCATCTATTAAATGGGCAAAAAGCCCTAGAACTTCTCTGATAATTTGATCAAAAGCCCAAAATGTCCACGGTGGTCCCGCTTACCAAATGAAAATTTATACTACTACAACTATCATCGAGAAATTGAAAGACCGGTCTGTAGAACGTTGATTTTGTAGAACTGGAGTCAATTACTACTATAATTTTCAAAGCAATCAACGGTGAAAATAATAAGAAAGAGAAAGAAAGAGACGCACATGTCAAAGAAAATTTGAAGGCGCGCGTCAAAACTCTGGTCAGAAATCTGTAACCAAAAATCATGAAGCTCCTCTTCGCTTATTTTCATTATTCTCTGCCTCTTCCTCCTCGCTAATGCATCAAATATACACACTGCAAACTCCTTCGAATTCACCATCCCTATCATAATCACTAACACACCAAATCAGAACAGAAATTTGTTTATATATATATATAACTAGTAATTAGGTAATTATTTACCTATACATTCACCGAAATCTTCTCTTGCAAGCAAACCGTCTTTAGCGAGCAACTTGAACCTGGACTCAACTCGTTTCCACAGCTCATTCGACTCAGACGTACCAGTAGTCTTGCTTATAAACCTCAATCCTTGAAGTCCTCTTTGAGCGCTCAATTTTGACCTGTCAAGTTTGGCTTTCAATCTCCTTGCATCTCTCGCCGAAATTGCTCTATCTTCAATCTCCGAAGATGTCGTTCTCGAAGATCTTGATCTTAACCACCCGAACTTCCGTCTAATCCTCGACGTTGCCGATAAACTCCTCTCCAAAATCCGAGCCGCAGAACCACCGCCGGGCGTACTCGGAGTTGACATACCGGTACGGTTTGGATTAACACTGCAAACAACAATGGAGTCGTTTTCTAGCTCGAGCGTGACCTCAACTAACTCATCTTGGTTGTTTCTTCTCAAGTCATTCAAAAAAGCTGGCAACATTGCACCGCCTATCTCGCAGTCGCTGGTAGTTTCTGAACCATCGAGATCATCATCTGGTAAGTCAAATGTGCGGCTGTAATTTGATAGCTTGGAGCTCGTCCTTCCAAACGACGATGATGATCTCATAATTATCTTTTAGGCTAGGTGAGTTTTACTTGTTTTTTTTTTCTGGTTTTCTTGTTGGTTATGCATAGAAATGATGCATACAGAGAGAAACAGGAGGATATGAATTTTAATTGACACGCTTGGGTTGGCTTGGAATTTTAGAGAAGAGATAGGTGGTTAGAATTTAGTCGTAAGGGCAGTATTAAAACATGCAAGACAAACACCTCTCAACCGATCTCTACACACGATTTCAACGCTTGTATGCAAGCCTAGCGCAATAGCTAGTCGTGCTTCGAGAGATGAATAGAACTCCCTTCGTAGTAGTTGAGATTTTGCCAATTTATATCGACTACCTGCAAAGAATAATAATTAAAATCGAAAGGTATTTAAATCAAACATATACAAACATATTTGTGTTTTAACTCACATTAATTCTTATGCCGCCATTTGGCTGTTAGAAGAACAGATTACTCCATGTAATTGGCTGTGCTGAGGTAGTATTGAGTTTTCAATACCACACCACACCAATTCTTGCCATGTATGAGGTTTTTTCTATATAAGATAAAATTTTGGGATGATTGCCAAAAAAACCCTCTTAAAAAAATCTTTTATTTAAACAACCCATTAATTTATTTTTAAATTTATCAAATCCAAAATTGTATTTTTTTCCTTACTAACACATTTTATAGTGGGGTATTCTCATATCGGTTTTCACATCAACCAAAATTAAGTCCATCACTTTTTAGGTTAAGTTAATGCAATAACATTTTTAATTTTTGATCGACCACTAAATTTTCTTTTAGACCAAATTAGCCTAAATCCGGTATATATACCACTAAAAAAATTAGGTTTAGCCAACTTAACAATAGTTAATTATTAAGTGTTTTGGGGTGTGTGTGCGTGTATGTATATATCTTGTTTTAGATTTCAAAGATTTAAAAATCGGTTGATAGGTATTTCGGATGGAAAAAAAAATAGAGGCTTTTTTTTTTTGGTAATAATCTAATAATAATTTCATTTTATAGTTTTTTATGAGTCTAATACTTATTATTATTACTATCATTATTATTTATCATGATCAAGGTCATGTTCTTTTTGGTTGCAATCAAAAGAGAAAAAAAGTTTCTCAAGTTCTTTGACTATTGACATACTAACTTTCGACTATTATTTTCTATTATGCTAAAAAATTCCTTATGTAGGAGTTTTTATTTTTTATTTTTTATAGATCATTTGCTTCAACAACTAAGAAATTAGTTTTACTACCTAGTTGCTATAGCAGATGATGCAATTCAACCAATTAATATTGATAGAATGAGGCTTCTATTATTCTTTTGTAATTTAATTCAAAAAAATACCATACAAATTAAAAAAATAAAGAATATTTAAGATTATGAGCATTCATTATAAGAAAATAGGCGATCGAGTGACGGAAATAGCAACGGATAGTATACTTCGTCGTTAATTAACTACCGAATAGCGATCGAATGGGAATGAAATTAAAAATACAACAATTTTGTGATGGACCCGCAATGGATTTGGGATGAAAAATTAGCGAGGAAAACAATTTCGTTGCTAAAGTGCATTCAGCGATAAAATTACGACAAATTAGCGATGAAATTTAGCGATGGAATACCATTTTCGTTGCTAAAAACCATCATCGGATCAGCGATATAATGTATTTTGTCACTAATTTTTCAAATTTTTGAAAAGTTTAAAAAATTTAGCACTCATTTAAAATTCAAATTAGTGACGAGCATAAGTGTTTGTCGCTATTTAGCAACGAATTAGTGATGAAATTGCATCTTTCCTAAAAGGTCATACATCCTATCGAGGTGCAAAATAAATAAAATTTCTACATCTAGGGTTTCTAAAATCATGTTATTGAATCAACTAATCATACATAAATATGAATCAAATTAAGGTAAGTAATTTACCTCTTGTAACGCAAAAACAAGTCAAGTAAAAAGGAACCATTCAAGTGTTTGACCCCTATTAATTATCCACACAACTCAAACACCCATACTAGAAGCAACAAAAATCATCATGTACTAACTCCAACTATTATATATACAAATTTTCTCTTAAGAAATTTAAGTAGGGTTGTTATGCCAACTTGTTTTTTTTTAAGAGAGGGTGCAAAAATTTTGGCCTTTTGGAAGAGACTTTTCTTTTAGTTTATTTTTTTCTTTATGCCATGTCTCTCTTTCTTTTTCTTGTATTAGTCATGTCCCTCCCTTCCCTCTCTTATTTATATAAGTGCGGCATCCTTGTCCTATAAGGACAAGGAGTTGCGGCATCCTTGTCCTTCAAGGATAAGGAGTTGTAATATATGTGGACTTATTTGATCTTGTCCTTATAAACCCTAAACCTTATCCAATAATGCTCAAGCTTATCCTTCCATCAAAATATTTTACAAGCTTTTAAATTACATTTATTGGTCCAATTAATTACCAATTAATTTAGACCGTCTAAATAAATTAGGTCAAATATTTTAATGAGGCCCATATTAGGAAAACATTTCTCATATTATCTTTAAATTTAAATTAGCAAACTAATTTTCCTTTTAGGTAATTGTCTTTAAAATTTGAAACTAACTTCCAATTTATTAGGCAGGAGGTCCGAGACTCGTAGCATTAAGATTTTTTCACACTTGATTGTAAGGCTCATTCGAAATAGGTATCGTAGAACCAAATGTCAAAGATTGATGGCCCTAGTGCAAGCCCTTCCAAGCATACAAGGGGTCCATCTCTTTCGAAGGGCACACCCTTCACTTGGTAAATTATATCTTATATTATTAAATATTTAAAAAATTTTAATTTGCATCTCATATTGTTTGTGATTCATTTTTTTAGGCGACAAAATTTAGGCTTGAGTTAATGTGTTTGGAGTCGTTTGGGGCCACTCGTAAGCGGCGAGATGGTTTTTTCATCGATCTACGTGCCCAAAATAATATGATAAGTGTTTTAAATTTTTAAATTTTGTATATGCAAATATAATCTAAAAAATTATTTAACATTATAATCATTTTGATTATGCTCGAATCGTGTTGATGAGCTCATATAAGAAACTGTTGAGAAGTAACGGACGAAAGGAATCTCAAAGCCATAGGTAGACGAGAATGCCATATGCCTCAAGGTTGTAGGAGGGAAAAAAAAGAGGTTATGTAGTGTAGGCACACAAATGTCGTATTATCTATCCTAATCAAGTGGCACCAGCTCATTCTTCGTGTTGTTATTGCTCAAATATTTACCTTTGTTACTTTTACTTCAATTTTTATTTTTATTGCAAAACACAAAAAAAAAAAAAAAGAATGAAAATGAAAAAAAAATTGGTATAATTAGTTTAGGTTAAAAAGAAAAGGAAAAAATAGGCGGGGGTTAATTGAAGAAATGAAAAGTTTGGAGGTAATAAAAAAGGACAATTAAGGGTCCAATCAAAAAATCAAAGCTTCAATTCCTTTTTTTTTCTTTAAGTTAAAGAGGAGCATTATTAGAATAAATTAAAAAGAAATGTCCCAATTAATTTAAGTTTAGGGGGCCCATCGAAGCAAAAAACCAAGATTGAACTCAAATTGATGGATTGAAAAGAAATAAGGACTAAATTAAACCTTTGCCAAAAACCTTACATATAAAAGCCCTTATACATTTTTATTATACCGGGACTCGTTCATCATCTCTTCACCCATTCGGTCGCCAACCTTCCCACACCACCACATACACCAAGTCGCCACACTCCCGCACCAAACTCTCATACCTATCACCTATACATGCCTAAGCAAGCCCTCTATTTCTCGCCTATAAGCCATGCCTAACCGAGCCCAACGCTAAGCAACACTAGCAAAATCCACAGACCTCTCCCTACACAACCCCTACCTCGTGAGCTCGACCTTTCGCCCACATTGCCTAACGACCACTTTCTCCGTAGCCCACACCAAAAAATCCAGCTCGATCTCACCGACCTAGCACTCCTCTCTCTGCGACTAACACCATAAACTCCAACCCTACCTCGCCGACCACGCAGCCTCCCACACAACTCTCTTTCACCCATCAAACCTTTATGCCCAAGCTCCCTCTCACCTATATTGCTCACCGGGCCTTATCCAAGCTCCCTCTCACCAGCCAATGCCTACGGCTAGCCCATTACGTCCTCACGCAGTTGACCAAAAACACAAAAAAGAAAACCAAAACACGACCACCAAAACTCCTCACTCCTTTTGCCTAACTGGCAGCCTCTCAGCCACCAAAATCCCTCACTCCAGCCTCCTTCAAAACCATAAAAACTAACCTAAACTAGACCTTTAAACACACACTAACCCCTTCCCCTCGAGCTAACAAAAAAAAAAACCCAAAACCCCTTCCCCCAAGTCGACTAAAAAAACACACCAAAACCCCCAAAGGTAGCCACGAAACAATTACCAACATCCCTCAAACACCTTCAAAGAAATCCTTTGGACACCTCCTTAAACCACCAAAATAAACACTAAAGCACCATAAGCCAGATTTAAGATAGCTTCGAAACACCCCTAAAACATCTACCAAAATAGTCATAAATCCTCCCTTAAAACGACCACTTGACACTTTTAGAGTTACTAAAAAAGAGAAAAAAAATTAAAAAGAAAGAGTAAAAAAAATTTTCTTGTTAGTGTGTGTTGGCAAGAACAACATGATATTGTAGATTGTGTTTGCTTGATTTTTGATAGGAAAATAAGCAACAAAAGCCACTTTAAGCTTTGAAGAATCCCGTAACCCCTGTAGTAGTAATGCTACAAATTTTATAATAACTTTGGAGTGTTCACCTCGAGTAGTGGAGGAGCTTTTGGCTACTCTAGTGGTGCTCACATCTCATATTGCTAACTAGTAGTTACCCTCATTTCTCGGCTAATTGAATAATCAATTATCATCGGGAACGAAGAGGGTAAGACCGACTCCAAATCGAACATCGATATTTTAGGGCTTTTGGGTGCAAATCCTAAAACCATGACACTTCTAAAAATATAATAAAGATTATATTCATAGGCAACC